AAAAAAAGAAGGTCGCCCAACTACATTATCACCTCCGATTTTGTAATGTCTTACATAGCACGATGCCAGTGCAATTCAAATCACAGTTTTGAAGTACCCACTTCACTCAACATCGCTCACTCCACTCCGCAGTACGCACTTTAATTCATTAACCTACCCCCAAGTTACTGCCTTATATAAAAGAAGGAAGTGAAGAATAGAGCAAGATTTTTTATATCACTACCTTTATCGTAATCATAAACATTTGCGGACGGACAGACCGACACACCGACAAACCGACACACCGACAAACTTACAAACCGACACACCAAGTTTCTGCTTTATGAATGAGAGATTTCTCCGTGCACGATATGATAAAATCCAACCGATGATGTAAAAAAAATGTAAAAATTCTCTACTTAGAAAACATGAAAACATTAAATTCGCTAGGCACCTTCATTAACTACTCTTGTTACCTCTTCACATACAGATGACAATTTTCTTCGAGTTTCCGCTCCCACTTAAGGGTCGTCTCGCATCTTCCTGCGTAATGACCCCTCAGAGATGTTCCTCATCCTTGCCTTCCATCAGTGGGCGAGAGTAACGAAAGTCATCATGACAGCCGACAGCTGATCGGCACACTTTCTTTATCTCTTTATCAGGCCGTTATGAGCCAGTGAAAAGGCTAAAGTGCATTCAGATCGCTGACCATGACCGCTCTAACTGCCTGATTAATTAAGCACGTCCATTTGTTAAACTGACCTCCAAAGTAAAAATCAGTAAACACATGAAGCGTAACGTTATTTTGAAAAGTCGTTGTGCTCTACCTTTTGCTTCGAACGTGCGCATTTCTTCAAGTCAGCATCGCACCGTATTGAGCTTCCCCGGCTTTTACAAACAACATTGCGTTCCTTCGAGAGCCGTTCGGTGACACCACAGCCATCTGTTCGGATTAAAGCGCTGAAGAATGGATCGGTTTGCCTTTGCACGTCATATTATTGAACACCCAGGCACTCAGACGCCACCTTAATTCATACTACAGCAACAGGCCCACTCAAAGAAAACTGATCAGCTCTCGACCAGTGACTTAATAAATTTTTCCAGGTATTCCTCTTCTCAGTAGAAAAACACTTTTGCCATGTGTGAACCTATGGCAGCCGCGACACATCATTGGTTTGTCTTCTAATCCATGAACCTTCATTTGAATTCGCTTCTGACATTCAATCCCGGTAACTATAGGTGCTGTACTGATCGCATTACCGTTTGGAGTGGCGGTTTGTGTGATGCCGTTGTGCATACTCGATGAGTGCCCTGCCACACCTTTGATGCCAAGTCGACTGCTTTTCTCGTACATCATGATCGTCGCATTGTTTGCTCATTGTAATTTCTCACAACTTGGAGCATGGCCGAAGACTATTCAATGCATTATCGTAGGAATGATTCATATTTCGGCCGTCTATTATTGTCAAGCTAATATTCTTCGGCTACTTCCACAGGTACGGTTCAATTTAGAAAAACCATTTGACAACGAACTTCGAAAATTGAAGGAAACGAGGAAAAATGCAAGCCCTTCTTGCATCGCAGCTACCCATGACATCCAAATTTTACTGCTTTTCAGACATGGTGCGCTAATGAGACGAGTACTGGCTTTTTCGATACGTCATTCGCTTCATCATTTTTCATTTGGGAAATGTTACTTGACGTGATTCTATCGATCATTCTTGTCGGCTTTCTCAATTATCAGGTACTTTTGCAAACATCAACAACTCAGCAATACAGTAGCTCAATTAGTGTTTTCTTTTAGTTTGAAGCCGCTTTTCGGATGTCGTTCTATGGAGACGTGCAAGCCAGACGGGACACTCAGCGCATGCAGGTGCGCCGCCTTTAATTACTCTCTATTCACTAAAAAGATCCCCTTTCCATCGGAACAAAGTTCAAATAGGAATTTATCTTGAAGCGCGTGACAAAATTCAAAGAACGGTCAGGTGCTCATTATTAGTGATGCAGAACGGGAACGAGCAATGTAGTCCAAAATTATAATAAATACATAAAGCCAAAAATGTAACCAAGATTAGAATCAATAGTAGGATAAGTACAAAGAGGGTGTTAGCAGATATGTATTTGTGATAAACACCAACTGACACGTGTTTTAGTACGCGAATGTTCAATTATTACTTTCAAAACGATTACTTTCTCGAAATTGGCTGATCACTGAAACTGACCTGGACCGGTTGCGTAAAACGAAGGCTATACGACAGCTCGCTGCTTTTTATTTGCTGGAGTGAAAAGAAATGCCTGAAATATTAATGATGAGCATTACAAGGTAGTGTGAATTCATTCCCCAAAAAATTCAGAAATCGGAGCATTTGTGATCGCGTACAGTTGAGAAAGAATCCGTATATCGTGAAGAAGGTCCAAGATTCTGCTGCTATCGTGGCAGCGAATCTTCGCTGTTACAATAGTATTAAAATCTTCGCCTGGAAATAAAATCGAATGGCCCCGTGGCAAGCTGAATCTTCCTTTGTGCGAAATGAAGCGATTATAGATTATTACCTGCGCAGTCTTCCGCTCCGACCGTTTTCTACCATAAGGACCATGGATGATGGCGAATACCCCTTAGAAGATGTACACTGAAGCAGTTTATGCTACCTTAAGCCCTTTTTTGGGCCTCTAGAGTGTCGCTTGGGTCTCTCAGGAAAAGTGTTCAAAAGGTCGAAACATAAGGGCATGCAGCAAGGACTTAACTAACGGAGAATGTCGGATTCAATAAAAGACAACATGAATAATGGCCCCTTCAAATGAACATGTTTTCAGATAGTACGAGATCAGGCCGACTGGCTGCTCAATAACGTCATCCCAGCGCATGCAGTTGAAAGTCTTAAAACGGACACTAAATACAGGTGATTTATCCAAATGACCACTCTTGAATTCAGTGTTTTCACTCGGATAAGAATTTAATGAGATTCTAAATTGGTTTTAATCAGGGTTGCCATTTCTTTGAACGAAAAGGCAGAACTCAAAGGGAGCGTTCTATTTTAGCCTTATATTGGTAGTAACATCTGAAAGCTAAATGTAGTCGTGATTCAACAAACAGATCGTTGCGCTGAAGAAACGACGTACAACGTAACGGAGGAATCCTCTAGTTTCCCTATTTTCCTATGCCTAACTAGGCGAACACACGGTTGCCTGTAGAAATGCGATGGGCGCTTTGGTTTAGCTCCATTGAGAACAGCAATGACGGAACTTTATGGGCACTAGCATAACATTTCCCTTGATGAAGGCACTTTTCCAATCGAATGTCAGATTTTCCTGATAACAATTGCCAAGGAACACCTCTTGCATATTGCAAAACTTAAAAAGCCACGATTCTTAGAGTTCCGGCCGAAAATGAAGAATACAAAGGCAAATCACACCATTTAAGTTATCAATAACTACAACAAATACAAGCGATCTATACTTAATTGCAGTAAACAGAGTCACTTCAGAACCAAGAACGGTTTCTAAAAGAAATCAAAAGCAGAAGAAGCAAAGTCTATGTGACTGACAACCAGATAAACCCGAAAAGAAGTCCCGAACATAATGAAAAGTACCTTCACAGGCGAACCTTACGGTTCCCCTACCTAACAACAAAAAGTAACCTTATCGTAGGGGTAAAAAGGAATAAGTGGTGTACGGTAGAGAGTACAACTGGCGCGAATATTCAAACGGCCTTTTTTGTTGGTGCGTGTCAGAGAAGTGACGATGGAGCAGGAAATTCCTGGAGTACTTGGCAGCGATGAATCAACAATCCATGGCTCATCCGTGTTTCATTCAAACATCACGCGGCGTTGGTCATCATGGAAGTAAATTCATGGTTGATGAAAAACGTCACCTAAAAAACATTGAAAGGAATTGGCAGCTCCTCCTGGATTGTCTCACAGTATTGTACATACAAGGTGAAGAAGTGAGGGAATTGTCGTTATACTTCCTTCTAGGAGATTTTATGAGCATCGGAAAAATTTGCAAATAGTTTCATTCTTCTCTAGGGATTCACTAGAATTCTCTGAAGACTCCTCGCAAAAATTCTAATTTTGAGAGCACGTAGACTGTTTCAGATTAGGTAAATTTCTCTATAAGACCACATCGTGGACGTCCATTCAGTTACAGTGTAACCAATGTGTCACTAGAAATGTTGAAAGTCTACCGTCAAACACTGGGTGAAGGAATTTCTACCCGAAAATCGCTCGCCGCACCCGCAGCCCTGCGCTATCGGGTGCGACGAGCGCGACGCTTTCGGGTAGAAATGCCTGCTGAGGAAAAAGTACGAGTTCCCATCGTAAGGATACGGTAGTCGCCGCAAGAAGTACTGCCACTTGTCGTGTAAATTCAAAGGGAAATACCGCCATCCCCGAACACAACCTAAGATGAGATGAGTTGATAAGAATGTTCAACCTCCCTTTATGCGTATGAGTCTAAAGTGGATACGTAGTTAGGTAAGCTTCCTAAGTCACAGTACCCTGTGAGGATCTGAAGGGTTAAACTGGAAGGTTGTTTTGATTGATCGACAAACATGTAGACCTATGACGGACCAACAAAGCGGCGTAATTAACTTACTGCTTCATATATGTTCTTTTTTTCACCGCACTTCTAAAAGGAGCTACCCATTCCAGTGAAAACCATGAGTCAACTGCCGTACTGTTCGCAAGTATAACGAATTGGAACGACATGTATGAGGAAAATTTCGAAGGAGGACGCGAATTTTTGAGAGTGTTGAATGAGGTAGGCTTTTTTCAAACTCACGATCATTCCCAAAGAAATGAATAGCCATAAAAAATCTAGGTTATCACATCTACGCTTGGTTTACTTAGAACTGGATATATCATAAACAATACCTCATACTGCTGTGCAGTACAGATCTATTAATGCTCAATCCCATGAACAGGAATGAGAAAATGGGGAAGCGTGAATGGGATGGGATGACTGAGAAGTTGTGCCTTGCCATTCGTGTTTACCTGAGTTATCTCCCTTCGATTGACATTCAGTCCTAGCTCCTCCCCGAGACTATAGGTGAAGCAGTATGATTATCAATTCAACATGGGTTTGAGGTGATGTACGGAAGTAACTAGGCCGACGTAGAATCCGGGAGGTGGGGTGGTTAAATGTGATGCTGTCCACGAAGAATAGGTTATATTGAAAGATGCATCCCTATGATTGGAACAATGAGCAAAAATGTGCTACTCATATCTCATGACTTCCTTCTCAACACTAATTTATGCCGACAGGAATTTAGCTCCGCCTTCTTCCTATCTCTTTTCTTCTTTTTTTTCGGTTTTTTTTCAAAAAAATTCCAAAACCAGTTGTTTACCTTTCTTAGGTGATCGGAGACTTCGATGAGCTTCTTGATCGGCCGGAGTTCTGTCATATTGAAAAGATCAAAACGATCGGAGCAGCGTATATGGCAGCAAGTGGATTGAATCCGGAACGAAAACGAAACATGGAACATCCAAAGGAACACCTCTACCAGGCAAGTCTATGGTGATCCTGCTCATCAACTGAGCTAAAGCATACCGCTTTAATGGTACCTCCTGTCAGACCTCCACAAAAATTAAAAGATTTTGCATTTTCTATTCCTGTGCCATTTTCTGAACTGGTGGTTTTAGTAGCAGTCCTCTACGGAAGGGTGGCATGACAGGCATCGTAGGATTGTCACGTTCTCTCGCAACTTTTCTGCTTCTTAATCCCAGATGTATACATTGCAGATGGTCGAATTTGCACTGGCTATTCAACATGTTCTGTCTGTTTTCAATGAAGACCTACTCAACTTCGATTTTGTTTGCAAATTGGGACTGAACATTGGACCGGTAACGGCTGGTGTTATCGGAACTACAAAACTTTATTATGATATCTGGGGCGATACTGTGAACATTGCTTCGAGGATGTACAGCACTGGAGTGCTCAATAGAATCCAGGTTTGTTGCAATATGAATACATATTGATCTGACTATTGATTGAGCTTACAACAGTGTCCTTTTGTCAAAAACTGACGGCGGAGAGGGAGGGCTGGCTGTACTTCTCCCCGAATTCCCACAGGAAGCAGCAGTATTCCGCGGCGGCTACCGTACCCTTCCGCTAGGGATTCAAAAATACCTCCCTATAGCGCGCGATCGGCTGGGTTGAGCGCGGTGCGACTTTTGGGGATAAGTACCCACACCTCACAATCAGATAGAGCGACGACCATGGGACTGGGGTAGGTGTGCTCCGCAGCCACCTGCAAATCCCCAATTTCTGGCGCATTCTCTTCAGCGCGCATCTCGTAAGCTCCAACGCTTGTGCTAACTGATGCTAGGTGAACAATTGGAATTTCCCAGAGAATAATTTTTTCCCTGTTGCCCAACGCCTTCCCCTTCAAAATCAGAGTTAGCGCTGTATTAAATCTATCCCTTTTCCAGGTTTCCGCCCATACCCGAGAAATTTTGCTGGATCGATACGAATTTGAGTACAGGGATCACATTGAAGTAAAAGGAATCGACGGCGGTATGGATACGTATTTGCTGGTTGGACGAAGAACTGACCATATACCGCCAGCCATTTCTGATCACGGTAGCTCTGCTGCTGACTAGACAACGCCACGGTTTGGCTGAGTAGCCTTTATTCGATTCGCTCCTATCTCTTCATATTTCTTACTCCATTTCATTGCATTCATTCATTATGCCTGTGTCTTGCCATCATCTGACAGCTGATTTTATTATATACACGCGGGTTATTGGTAATTAAGTAGAGAGAAACATCATCATATTGCGGCAGTGAGTTTCGCCTCGACTACTGTATTTATAAACAGATCAAACCCCTTCCCCCGTTTTTCATGAAATCTCTCTTGCTGCTCGAGTATCTCAGTCACTAGTCATTCTTGGGCATTATGCTTCCTAGTGAGGTTCTCAGTTCAATTAACTGTTCTCCATTAGTTGCATTATTCGCTAAAGCATTTGTTTGTTGTTTCTGAAGCATTTTTTGAAACTGAATCTCGGTGATTGTTTCCTCAGAGTAACAATAATAACATAAAATCTGTTAATAAAGTGTCAGTATCAGTTCACGGGTCATCTTAACTCAAAAAAAAACTTTTCTACTAACAAACCAAATGAGCACACTAAAGTTGCTGTATCCGCTGGACCGTTAGATTAAGTCGTAGGACTGCGAATGTGGCAATGCTCACTGAGAGGAGACAGGAATTGAGAAAGACTAGCAGAGCAACAGCCTTCCTTACCCTCTCATACTTTCGATTTTCAAAGCTTAACACCGATTCCTCCTTCTACCGACACAACCGAAGTTCTTTATGAACCTAGAATGAATGAGGATGTGGGCCTACTGGGCAGATGGCCGTTTTCTGTATCTTTATCTTCACATTATCTCCTTCCATGTTTTATGAAAATCTATGGGGTGCCAATTTAAAGAACTCCGAAGTGCTATCCGCTGAAAATTGCTATTTGTAACCCCAGTACACAAAAAAGCGCCATTATGGAGCGCCAGAAAACCACATCCATCCTTGTCACACCAAATGCGGTTTATCAGTCTATTGTATTACGGTTCAATGTTATGACGTCGACGCGCACTCGTAAAGCCCGTCGGGTATAAAAGGTTCGCAAGGACCTTCGACGCAAGGACGTCATCGGCGGGCGACTATGCTAGTTCAGGAGTCCCGCGAAGTATGGAAGACCCGCACTGCAACACTGAATGTTGGCACGCTAACAGCTTACCCCTGCGACATTACGCATACCCTGTAAGCTAGTAGATGCGCTTGAGCGTAGACGAGTAGATTTCCGTTCCATGCGTGAGACAAGATGGTCCTGCTGCAAGACGGGGGACATTGGCCGCTGCTTCAGCACCATTCATCGCGGCAGCACCAGGACTACCCCGGTGCCGGCTCCGAATGTTTCCTGGACTTCATTGTGAGCGTCGAAACTGATGAAGGTTGTAGTCGTTCTTGAACAAAAACTGCAGCACATTTTTTTTTGCACACGCCCAACAAACTAGCTGAGCGAATCAAATAGGAATTCCGGACCATGCTCAATGAGAAAACAGATGAAGTGCCACCATAAGAAGCTGCTGTTGTCGCAGGTCACCTTAATGGCACTACGAAAGGTAGTTACAGTTTGTTTGGATATGCGTCACGTCATGTCGATAGCGAGCAAAATCTGTAAAACGCTGAATCGCATGACCTCACCAGCGTGAACATTGTTTCGCAAAGGTGATTCTCATCCATCACCTTCTACAGCGGCAAAACCAGATCATAAATAGACTTTTGTTTGTTTTTGTCCATAACTCGCCAACCTCGTGAGGAAAATGGACTTTGTTATCGTCAGGCCCCGCAATCAAGGGCTCGTGACAGATGCGATGACTGTGCCGTATGAGATGGTCGCCGCGCATCATCGACCACTGATTTGCACGCTTAGAATCGTGCCGTAAAACACATAAACAAGGTGGAAGAAATGGATCTGCAAAGATCAAATGGGGGCGATTAACGGAAAAGAAGACGTTTGGTAACTACGATTCAGCTTGCATGATAATAACTGTTGAGGAAACCTGGAAATGTGCTGCCGAAGCAATAACTTCGGTTGCTCGCCCTGAGCTAGGTGAGACAAAGCTTAGATGGCGTGAGTTTGATATGCAAGTGTGACCGTGGATGAATCGCGTCGGAGAAGGTATGCGAGAAGGAGAGCCTGCCACACATCCGTCTTGTCGATAAGACTGGCAGAACTATCGGGAAGCAAAGAAGGCAGCGAAGAAGGCCATGGCTGATCATGTTGATGTCACTAGAAACTCAAAGTGTTGATGCAAATCGATAAATTTATCGTCTTGCTAAAGCCCACGAGACCTAGGATATTAAGAAATATGCCGATATCAACGGCGAAGATGGCGTCTTCTAACAAACCGCAATAGTAAAACGCAAGACTACTTTGAGAGGATCCCAACAGTGTCTCAACAGTAGGATACGCCCATCCGCCTCTACCTCGCGTTCTGTCAGTACCTGGCCCCGTATACAGTGTGTTTCATAATTATAAGGTCAAACTCGATTTTTGCGATTCTGGAGAAAGCAGCCAGAATGGAATTTTTTGGCAAACACAGGAAGATTCCTCATCACAATGTACGTCCGTACTCAATTTTTGGTCGCGATATCCTTCAACTCAATTTTTTTTATGAATTTTTCTAAAAAATAGTGTCTGCTTTTGCAC